TGTTCAAATACATCTGGAGAGCCAGAATTAATCAGGTGGTCCTATTCAGCCTGATATAGTGGCAATCCCCACAAAATCAGTCCTGAAGAGCGTGGTAGGATAGCCACGTAGGAAGTTTTTTACAGTGACTTTGCTCAAGAGGCAAGAGGTGAAGATTATTAATAAGCTGTTCTTCTACTTGGAGGTCATGGGAAGTAATTTTTCAGCTGAAATGAAGCTTAAACTGAAACCTTGGAGTAGCTGCACAACAATTTGCCATGAATTGGGAAAATGAGCAACTTCCTCTGATGTTCCTTGTTGCAACTAGTCCCATTTTGCTGCCACGAAACGTGGCTGTGGGACATTTGGGGTCAAGAACTGAAGGGCAAAGGTCACTGAAGCATCCTGCCAATGCAGCTAGAAGTGACCTTTACTTGACAAAGCAGAAGTAACACAGGATCTAAAAGAATGGTATCCAAATAGCCAGTCTATCCAAAATGTTGCATTTGGATTGATCCTAATCAGCCATAATTTCCTAGTTTAATGGCCAATTAAAAGGCTATTTGAAAGTAAGAGAAGCAGAACAAATCAGCATGGAAAGAGCCTGGATGGTCTTTAGAAAGTAATTCAAGTTTACTTAAGTTTTACACATCTGACCAGGGAGAAAAGGAGTAGGTAATGGATGTCTTGCTCCAAAAGTAATTCAGATTCATTAAATAAATTGTTCCAGCATGAGATAAAATCTGAAGCATCACTGAAAAGTAAAATGAAATACCTGCAGTATAACAAAGTATCTATCTATTTAGACATCATGGCTAATATTAAATGGAAGGTAAAACCCCCCATCCATCTGGCTGTTGTGTCTTATGTACCTTGACTTGATTTTTTTTAACATGGATTTAAAAGATTTTTTTTAACATGGTTTTACAACTGTGATCAGACATCTAATGGTCAGAATGATTCTATTTTACCATCTTTAATCCTGAATAGTTTTTATGTTAAATGTGTCTTCAATTTTTTTTTTTTTTTTTTTTTCCCCAGTTTCCTGGAAACAAAATTCCTTAAACATTACAGGCCAAAAGTGAGAGCCACATTGCCTCTGGTTCTTCCATGACTGGAGGTACCAGGAAGATCCTTGCATGGCCAGAGTCAGGGACACCTCAATTCATGAAGTGAGCCAAGCAGACCAAAATGCTGAGGATGAGAAAGTGGAGCCCTGGTGCCTCTTTCACATGGATCAGCCTGCAGTTCACATACTCTGAAACGTGGATCTATGGATTCAGGCACTCATTTTGCAAGGAGAATTGTAAAGACAGTCACACACACACACACACACACACACACACACTGCCCCAATTAATCCAGAATTTAAGCTCTTCCAGAATATTTCCGGAGCAGGGCATAGCCCTGCATGGCCACCAAGGGTTCAATCAACAGCAGAGGCCTCCTGAGACCTCTCTATTGCTCTTTATCAGAGGTCTCTGGCAGATAAACCTGCCACAAAAACAGCTGCTGATCGCTGCCACTGCAGCCCCACTCTGTGGAAGAGCTGCTTTTGCCCTTTCTCCATTCTCTTGACTAACAGGACACATATCACCATCAGAGTGGTTTGGACTCAGTTGGGCAGATGTGCCACTGACTGCATAATATTGTGGAAGGAACATGGGGAGCTTGTATTTCCGTCTGACTTCACCATATGAAATATTAATCTTTACATATTAATATATAAAAGGAAGTCAATGACCAGAAAAATGTATTTAATACTGTGTTAAGAAAAGGAGCTAAGGCCCAGTTTTGCCTCCCATGGAAAAAACCGGGAGCAGTCAGACATTTGGCAACAACTGCTGGTAGTAAATTATTACAGTATCAGTTTAATATTTACATTTTGGTCCCATTAGGACCTCATGAGAATGAAGGCTCCACTTTGCCTCACATCTCATGTGCATGCACAGAGAAGCAACAACGTCATGTTTTCCCCTTCCTGGCACAATGGTGCGCAGTGAGTGGATTCTCGAGTCCCCCAGCCTGCACATTTATTCCTAGAGAGCTTTGCCCTGCTTCCAGCCAGGAACATGCCCGGCTACAGCTTTTCCAATTTTAGATCCACGCAGCAAAGAGCCCGGAGTTGGCAGGTCCTCCGCATTCATCTGAATGAAATGAAAGGGAGCTCAGTCCTTGGCTCCAGTTTTCTGTCCCTCCATTGTCATTCAACAAAACGGACCAAAGAGAAAAGCGATCAATCCATAAACTCGTGAAGCCTCAGCCTCCAGCTGTCATCAGCTTTGAGCTCCCTCCACTGATCTTATCTACTGCAGAGTGATTGAAAGTCATTTGTTTTGGTTGAAAGTAATTTGTTTTGGAGAGTAATTAGATTATCTCTTGGGGGGCTTCCTACCTGGTGACCCAGTGTTTCTCCTTGGCTTGCTGCTCATTACCATCAATTACCATAGAGACACTCTTCAAAGGCAGGCTTGCACTGCCCAGGGTGGGGAACCTATTAAGAAATATGCTTCTCATTCCTGCTAGGAGATAATAAACCTTCTGATGTCAAACAATTATTTGTGGGTCAGACACATATGATCCCACTGGGGCTTAAGCCTGTCATTTGCCATCCAGTGTGAAATGCTTAGTAATTAGGAAATGAGCTGGATCTTTCTACAAGGGTGTATATGGAATAGAAGAGGCTCAAGCAAACTGCTGTGTAAGATTTGGGAGTATTTCCTAATACTGGGTATTTCTACAGTATTTCCACACTGGTAGAGGTACTGAATGGCAAATAAAGTGCATCTCTGTAGGGGAAAGTGCAGAGAGAATCAAAAGTTCATACAGTCATTCTTGTCCCTAGAATTAACTCTCTTTAACTGAGACAATTTATATGGTTATGGATATGACACAGCACTGATAAGGATCATAATAAAACCAGTATCTATTTTCTGCAATAATGAGAGTGCTGAGTCATTGCCTGACTGGGGCATTTAATGGTATCAATTACATCATTACTACTGTGTCATCCTACAGAACAACACAAAATAAAGAAAACCCAAAATGATCCACCTTTCAAACCACATCTCATTTCAGACACAGCAAATCCGAACAATAAAACACCCTGGTTGTGCACTCATTCGCAAATATTCAGTTTAAAATTTTCCCGTGTTCCATCTGACTTTTGTTCTGCTCAGGCAGTAGAAAAAGGCTACAGAGGGAGCAGAAATTATCCCCTGAAGGTAAGGTTCGGTTGTGTAGGGGTTGTGTAGAGGTCCGAGCCTCACCCAATGCCCCAGGCTGGCACTGGGCATATGCAGGATGAGCTGGGGTTGACCACAGGGAAGTTGGGGAAGAAACATGATGAAAACACCTTTGTCCTGCAGCTGTTCATGTTTACGTGGTCCATGGGGAGAGGAGTTTAAGCTGGGACAGGCTGAGTCATGGTGGAAGGGAATCATCAGCAGCGTAGACACCAAAACACCCTGTTAGGTGGTTCTGGCTCTCAAGCTTTAAACATGTCCTATAAATTCTTTAAATCTCTCCTCTGAAGAGCTGCAAATGCAAACATCTGAAGTAAATAACTGCCATTTTTCTATTCATTTGTCTTGTTTGAGTAATTAGGTCATTATATCTGAAAGTGATTGTTTCATGCGTGCCAAGAGCGAAGAATGAGGACCTTTGATGAATCCAGTGAGCAGCATGTAAATGTGGGGAAGGAATGCAGAGGCAAATGAATGACCTTTCTGAAGCAGAATTTCTCCCTGCACCACCATTTTTATCCCCATTAAAGCCACTTAATGCGTTTACATTTTCCTGCTGTGTATATTCCAATTGATTCTTCGGAGCTTCCTTTTTCTAATAAGATACACATTGTCCAAATTGTTCTTTAAATAGGCTGCTGTGGGCTTGTTTATGAGCAGTGGCTGCTCGTATGGAGCTAAACATTTCCTTTTCCCATAGTTTTTAAGTTTCTTAAAACTTATATTTTGGTGATTTAGAAGAAAATAAATTCAAATCACTAGATCTCTGTGTGTGTGCAGTGGAAAAAAAAGGGTCTGTTTATGGCAGCGTTTGAGCTTGAGTCACAGTAAGTGGTTTGAGGGAAAACTGGTTTCCCTCCTTGCTGAGCTTCAGTTTGCTTTTAGGAGTGAGGGGTACCAGAGCATTTGGAATAAACCAAACCTGGCTATGGGCTCAGTGAAGTGCCATGACATGCTGTTACCTGCTCACGGCCATTGAGTCCCTGGCATCTGATTAGACTTGTAGCTGAAGCAACTCCCTTGAACAATGTCCAGTGTGGGACCTCAGCACCCAGGGACAATTTTGGGATAGTTCAGGATATTCACAACGTTTTATGTTTTCTTAAATAAATACTTTTTTTTTTTTTTTCTGTGCATGACAGATGGCAGGTCCAGCAATTCCAAATCTTGACACGGCATCTGACAAACTCTACTGCAGATTTCATTTATTTTGCTCAGCAGAAAACATGGAGATGTTTTATTATGCTTTGACTCTGTCCTTCATATCCCAGCTCCTTGTCCTTCATATCCCAGCTCCTTGTCCTTCCAGCTTAGGCTGATTAAGTGAGGAGTGTGAACTGTGATGAATCCTTGCACCTGAGCCTTTATATCAGTCTCCCTGCTCTTGGTGTGGGCTGATCTCTGTTTACAAGGTGATTTCTACCTCCTTATTCTCAGGTTCCTGAAGTGCAGGTCTAAGGAATTATGGAGGGGATTATCACTGACTTCTTATTTACTGGTGGGAAAGCTACCAAGGTAGTGATGCAAAGCAGGCTGCTAGTTAAAAAACATCCCCAAAACATGGATCAAAAGAGAAGAAGTCTGTGAAAAAAAACACTCTGGATTTCCTTTTGAAAAAATTACATTTTTCCAGCCATAAAATTGCAAAGAACTGCACAAAGCCCTAACAGGGAAATGAGGCAGGGAAATGTTCTGACAAGAACGTTTCTAAATAGTTTTGTTAAACCTCATGTGGGTTTTGTTAAGGCTCCCATGGGTCTTAAATCTCCTGTCTACAGAAACCCTCTGTGCCTTCTTGATTGTCTGCTACAGTAATGTAAGAAAGGAAGAGATGCATAAAGTGATCCAGAGATATCCATTCGGAGTTTTTAATACACTGAATTATTGACCATTACAAATGTAATCATTTTCTGTGCACGCTAGGGAGGAAAGATATTGTTCATGGGGATGGTTAACCAGGAACACTTCAGAAACACAGCTCTGAGCCATTTCTGAACATGCAGGTTACTCAAACCAGGCAGAAATGCAGGGTATGAATAAGGGATCCCCTTGTCCAGAAGGGAGGGAAATACCATGTACGTGCACATCCTAAATACAGAAAATTTCAACAGCTTTTCTCTTTGAGAGAGGTACCAATCACAAATCCTAGATTCGTATAACGAAGTGCCCACTGGCTGCTGGTTGTGCAAGCAATCACAGCTTAATTAATTAGTTGATGTAATCAACTCTCAGCGGGCACTTTTCAAGGTCCCTTTTCATTTGTCGCTCTCGTGGCACATTCAACCACCCTGAGCTAAGTGGTGACTTCTTAAGCCCCACAAAGCAAAGTCACCAAATTACAGAACACCAAATGCAGTTGGTTTCTCAAATGCGTGAGGGTTTGTCAGCTCGTTTCCCCTTATTCGGAGACTTCAGCATTTCTGGCCTTCTTCCAGCACTTCCAATTTACTGCCCCAGCTTTGCCCACCATACCCGCTTAGTGGCTTTTCTGGCTCTGTCTTCTCCCACTTGATGCTGCTGGATAATCCTGATCAATCCCCCACCTGAACAGGGAGTCCTAGGAGAAGCAAATGAAATGCCAGCACCCTCTTTATTTGGCTGACACGAGGATCCTGGACTGGCTGGTTCATTAAAGGGGTGTTGCAAGATAGTGATTACAGGGAAAGTTCAGCTGCTTTCACTTTGAAATGCATAAAGGTGGTGTTCAGGTTATGGTTTTGAAGGTTAAGTCCTTTTGATGTCTGCAGGCTTTACGCTTGCACATCTGGAAGCCTGCACACCTTGCTGTAAACAGACATCCCAGCTCTGCTTCCCAGCTGGCTTCACAAAAGATCAGGGGGATACACATCACTTACAAGTGCCACCTGTTGTGTGTTTGTTTTTTTTTTCTTTCTGTATCTTTCTTCAAATTGTACGTTGTTAACTTGCTTTGGTGACTGTGCAATTCATTTTCTTTTTACTCACCTTCAAAGAATAAGCAACCTGGCCCCACAGACTTCACAGTGTTGCCACAGGAATGGCCAGGGACCAGCATTTCTTCTTGGAAGCTGATTCAGGCCCCAGTGAGGGGCACATGAAGGCTTTGCTGGGGTGCCAAGTGCCCCCAGCCCACCATGAAAGAGATGAGGGTATCCTGATCATCAAAGGAAACGTTTGGACATTTCCTTTGACATCAAAGGTCAGTTCAGATTTAAGTCTTACTAATTTCAGTCTCTCTAGCCCGGTGTTTAATTGCCTTTTACTTCTAAATTCAACTTCAGATCATGTAAGAAGTGACAAAATGTCACTATTGTTCAAAACTGCTTTATGGAAGCCATGTCTGTGGAAAACATTCTTTGTGTCACAGCTCAAAAACAATATTCATGTTCTCACCCAGAAATGGGAGGAACCATCATTGCTTTTTGAAATACTTGGCAAAAAAATGCCACTGCATTTTAAAAGCTGTTTGATTTAGAGAGCTGGCTGTGTCTTCCAGGTAAGTGCTGTATTGGTCACACTACCTACCTCACAAATTTTGGGGCTTCAGGATTGCTGTGTTAAACATAAGAGTTTACCCCATAGGACATAAACCCAAGGATTTTCCAAATTCACAGTTTTCCTTCCTTTCTAGCTGAGTCTTATGTTGAGCCATTTGATTTGGGGACCAGTTGGACCCAGGACCATGGTGTTTAACAACCTTCAGGTGTTTTGTTATAACTGGAGGAGTGTATCTGGGGGAATTTGCAAGGAATGGATCAGACTGAGCATTAGTTTAGTCCAGGATCCTTCCAATTTGGTGGTGGTTGGATACAGGTATCTCTAGAACAAGATAAAAAGGAACATACAGAGTCATTCTTTAACCTCTGGCAATATTTATTAGAGAAACTTTTTGAAACCAAGGTTGCAATCATATTTTCCCATTATGGCTCCAAGCAAGGTGCACCCAGTGCTGATTATTTACTGATTTCTGCATTTAATGGTTTTTCCTTGAACCCTTTTGAAAAGAAGCATCACATTTGCTCTCTTTCCTTCCTCTGATACTAAGGCTGGTGCAAGTAGTGAGTTTAATATCCCAGTTATCAGTTCAGTGGGCCCATATTTGAACTCATCTAAACTCTAATACCCTTGGGTCAATAGCACTGAGTGTCAATAACTACCCTGCTGGATTAAATAGAAAGAAAGCACAATAGATGGACACTTCTACAATGAAAACATTATTTACAGAAAGCTTTTAGACCAAACTGGCAAAATATGAAGAAGCAATTCATCACCTCATCTCTCTGTGGTATTCAGTGTGGTCTAAAACCTCCACCTCAGTAGTAATACTTTTACCAGTTCTTTGACATTGTCCACCCATTGCACTTTTTTTTTTTTTAAATAAACACATAAATTAAGGAATGTCCCATTAATTTATCTTCTGATTTCTGAAACGTGAAGCACAAGAAAGTGCTGCATCTTAAGACAGCTTTTCCAAATAGCCGGTTTCCCATCCAAGTCCACCGGTCCTCCCTCCCCTTCTCCTCCCCAGGAACACATTCCTGCAGAACTCCAGCTGAAGTGGCTTTGTTGTTCTCAGGGTGCCCTGCCAGCTTGCAGCCCATGCCATGACACAGCATTCCTCCTGCTTTGTTTCGGGCTGCCGCGATTTGGAGCTGACATTTAACAAGGCTGCATTAATGCCTCCCTAAGACAGGGCTCCTTGTTGAGTGCAGTTCGCTGAAGCTGCAAGTTTTAGGCACAGACGTGAGTGGGGTGGGCAGACACGGATCCCAAGGGGGAGTTGTCCCTTTCCCTGGGGGGGTGTATGGCTTGTTTTGCTGTGGATCTTGCCTTGGGTCACCCCTGAGGCAAAACCAAGACCAGGGATAGCCATTTACCTTGGCAATTTCAGGCACAGCGTGGAAGAGTTTTCCAAGCTCTCTACAGACACCCATCGTGTACCTGTGAGAGGCTTGCACTGTTTTTTTTGGGACTGAAATGGGTAAACATATTCAGGACATGTGGGACAGGTCCCGTGTTGGGTGTATTTCCTTACCAGTACCTGATTCAGGGCTTGCCTTCACCGAAGTCGACAAAAACTTCCCTACTCACCTCAGCACGCCCGATACAAAACATGCTGTGACTTATAAAGTGTAAAACTCTGCCCTTGTTACTCACTCGGTGCTGATACACCTTCAGTGAGCAGAAAAAGCTCTTTTAAAGCAACCACAGGAAAAAAAATTTCACAGCAAACCGTTCTCTCTGCCAAAGGAGGCAGCTTTTGCTAATAGAGGTTTGTAGGTGTTGGCTGGAAAGGAGAATTAAATAGGAAATGTTTGCTTTCTACTTAGAGAATGTCTGTCATAGCCCTGCTAAGTAGCCAGGAACAAATTATGTGTGAAACTCAGCATCCCTCTCCCTCTCTCTCTTTTTCTCTCTCTTGTGATTGATATTTGCTTATGCAGCCCAACTCCTTAATTTAATTAACAGGAATATGCTTATTTTACAAATTATAACCTTGTAATCTCCTTAGCGGGGTGGGGGGGGGAGAGTATTTTTAGCACAAGTTATCCTTTGTTGCACAACATTTTATTACCAACACTGCTGTGGCCCCCTTTTCTTAAAAACTTTCTGATTATTTCCATTAACTTAGAAGTGGATTTTATTTACATAAAATTTACAGGAAAGCCTCAAAGATACCCTGAAGTTGTTTATTATTAAACTGACTTCCAGAATAGCTCGTTTTTTTCAAGTGCCTAAAGTCAAATATAAAATGAAGTAGTATTGACAGGTTTTAACTATTTTTTAACAAAATAGTTGTCTGGGTTTGCCTCTAGTTTCACCATTTTGAACAAAATTGTGAACTTCAGTGGCATTTCATAGATCCCCATGAATGGTAAAAAAATCAATATGTGTTGATAGTTAGCAGAGGTATTTTTAAGTCCATTTATGTGTGTTTATAGACATATTTGTAGAGCTGTAGCTGTTGTATTTTCCGTGATGCTTCAGCATAATGTGTTAAAAAAACCTGTTCTGGGTCTGCCTTAAGTGTAGGTTTACGATTGGCAGTTCATTCACTCTTCCCTTTTATCTGGAATATATCCTTCAGTGCACTCCCACCAGCAACATAAAGAAATATTTTTATTGATGGTCACATGTAAAGGTAATTCTGTTAACTCAGCAACCCGTACAGGTGAGTGCCCGACTGTGTCCCTGGCAAAGCTGTAGAGCCAGTGGGATTTTCCACAGGAGCAAAGGGAAGGTAGGTTTGATGCTCCTATGAACAGGATCAGAACAAATTGGCAGGCAGGTGCATATTTGCTTCCATATTTTTTCTTGATTAACTTTTGAAGAGTGCAAACAATGAATAAATGCAAATTTATACTGCGTCATCTTCCAGAAACCTAACGGAAAGAAACCTCAGGTTTATGTCACCAGGAGAAGGGAATATGTTAATTTTCAATCTGCAGCTCAGGTACCCACACAAACACATACAAATTTTTATTAAATGCATATACAGTCCCTGTTTCTGCATCTGTTCACCCTTCTGTAGGAGTCACAGGGTGCTTAGAGCAGAATATTTTCATGACTATTAATCCCTGATTCAGTGTGGGTCGTTCAGCCACTGCACTGGATTATTACACCTTATTTATTTTCTCTGATCTTTATGCAGAAGAGGATTAACTTGTTTAAAAACTGAGCTTTAAACCAGCGGTGTAGAATATGCTTCCAAGCCCATGCATTCCCTCATTCTGCAAGGTCACTCCTTCACTCTCTCACCTGACTTGCCCCTTTTTCAACCTGAAGAAGTTTGTGTTGATTTTTCAGCCTTTATTCACAAGTTATTTTAACTATCCTTTTTTTCCTGTTCCTCATTTTGCTGGTTACCTGTGACTGAGAGCAAGGTGAGGCTTAAGGGGTCCAAATTAAATCATAATGATAAATGGTAATTATTCTGCTAGGGTCACCCAGGCATAGGAAGGCTTTGTTTAGAAATGTGGTAATTGCAGTCTGATTTCTAATGTGAGCGTTACCATTGAGATACTTCTTTGATAATAAAAACTGTAAAAGCCCAAGACTGAAATGAAATGTCTGAATTTGTAACTTTAGGAAGCATTTTGATAGACTTTTGTGCTGCACCTTTGTGCTTTTATTTACTCGTTTAATCCATATTTCGGACTAAGGTGTATTCCAAAATTACAGCATTTACTGAGTAAGTTCTAGTCTAGTACATCCTGAGGAATATTCATCTGAGGTGCCTTAATCTATGACGTCACATTCTTTGCTATTTACTAACTACTAATCTAAAATATTAACTTCATGAATTATTTGCCAGTGGTATTTTATGGCTACGACACCTATCATATAATTTAAATTTTGTATATATCTATGTATATGTATATATATTTAAATGAAAAAATAGCAAGAATTAATTTAAAACAAATCACTATCTTGCATGTGACTTGCATTACTAGAATAAAGATTTGCAGAAGATGCTAAATTTCTGACTGCCGAGGTCAAATACCTCCAGTTTAGCTTACTATGTAATTTCTTAGGTTTCCATTTATAGGCCTGACTTCAGCAGTGTCTCTGCAATCAAATTCTTTCAAACACAATCACTATTTAACACAAAGCCACGTGAGATGGCCATCTAGGCAGATATCTTTCTGAACGAAAATACCCTTTGCTTTGATTATCCCATCAGGGCAGACCTTCTTTCCCTGACATAAGGCTATCAGAGTTATATTTATATAACTTGCATGGCTCTATAAATACTTAAGTGCTTCTCCTTGACCATCCTAACTAAGCAGGCTAAAAACCCCTGTGCTGAAATGCCCACAGCAGGATTGCAAAAACAGATACAACCCAGTGAATCATATCTGATAACATATCAGAGAGAACAAAGGACCTGGGGTTTATGCTTTTCTGGTTGGTAAACAGACACTTGATGTTCTTATTCTCTTTCTATTACGGTTTGTGACTGGTACACCTTGCTCTGGAGATAGATGTGGTGAACTCTTCGCTGGCTGAGCTTGGCCACTGCTCGCTGAAAAAAAGCTCAGTTTGGTGTTTGAAAATGCAGAGGACTGAGGGGAAGTCCTCTATGGGACAAAATAAAATACAGGCAAGTGAGAAGTTCTGTGCTAAGCGGAAAAGGAGGTTGGACTTCATGAGGATGTAAACTAAGGGCAGATCTTGACCAGAGCAGTAAGGGTTTTAAACTTAGAGAGGGTAGATTCAGACTAGATGTAAGGAAGAATTTTTTGTATGGTGAAGGTGGTGAAACTCTGACAAGGGTCACCCAGAGAGGCTGTAGGTGCCCTATCCCTGGAATCATTCAAAATCAGGTTGGACAGGGCCTTGAGGAACCTGATTTAGTTGAAGATGTCCCTGCTCATTGCAGGGGGGCAGGGGTTGGGCTGAATGACCTCTGAAGGTCCCTTCTAACCAAAACCATTCTATGATACTGGGATTCTGTGGAAATAAACCCACCCTGACAAGCGCATAGGAGGCAGTCCAAGCATATTAACATCTGCGGGAGCAAATCTGAGTCACAGGGTCGGATATTAGGCACAAGTCACGTCCATGTTGGCAGAGTTTGCATCACTGCTCTTGTGACCTGTGCCAGCAGGTCCAGGCCTGGGTTAAGGCTGGAGTGTTTTTGGCCTTAACACGATGCATAAGGTCCCCAGAATAAAATCTAATGAAAGACCTCAAGGAAAAGGGTATAAAAAGTGGGAGAGAAAGAAAAGAGTAGAAAAAGTGGGAGAAGAAAGGGAGGGTGGTCGAAGGTAATGCTACCAAAAAAACATCAGAAAAGGTGGTAGAAAATCAAAAGAGGAGCATGAAAATGTGTCACGACAGGGTGATGGGGAAGAAGGAAGGGTGCTGGCTTGGATGGGCGATGTTCCTGGGCAGAAGCCTGAGAGGAGGAAGCCGGTCACAGGCAGGGCTTGCGGGGAAAGGCAGTGCCAGTCATCCTGCCCTGGCAGAGGAAGGTCAAAACCGCGGGGAAAAAAAAGCAACCGAGGTAATTTTCCTCCGGGGCCGTGGAAAAGGTGTCATAAACAGCAGCCAAAGTTAAGGCTGTGCTGGCGGGTCGCTCCTGCCTCTCCGTGCAGGCACGGCCGATCCCGGGGCAAGCACCGCGGGAGACCCGGGGTCGTCGCTCGGCAGTAACCCCCGGGATGCGGCGCTCGTGCCCGGGGAGATCGGCCCGCTTATCTCAGACCTCGCTGGAAGGAAAGGAAAAAGGCGCCGGCACAAAGATACGCTGGCTCCAGGGTGAGAGCGCACAGGTGAGAGATAGTGAGCTAACTGCCCGGGTTAATGTGTAAACTGACTGACTCCCCACGGGCTGCGGTTCCTGCTCGCAGCGGCGTCGGGGCTCCTCGGAGCGGCATTCGGGATGGAAGGCGAGCGCTGAGGAGGTAATCAGGAGTCGCTCTGCTGCTTGGAGAGGAGTGATGTCGCTCCAGGAGGGAGAGCAGAGGGGTGCCCGGGCCTGGCAGGGCAGTGGTACTCACCCCCAGATGGTGCTCATGGGATTGCCCTGCTGGGGGACCAG